TACTGTCTTTGAGATTACGGTTTCGGTTTACTTTGTTTTTTTTTTATCTTTTCAAATTAAAAAGATATTAATTTGAGTGTGTCTGTGTTGATTCTGGGTCAGGAGGCTGGATTGCCCTGGTTGTCGCCAATTTTTAATTTTTTTTATTTTTATGACAAACATCTAAATCTTTTTGAGGAAATAAACTCTTCAAATATGCCTAATCACTTTGTGTTGGAATGTCAAGGGTTAAATGAAAGAAGCTAATTTTCTCCCTATTATCATTTTTCCGCTTATCGCTTTCAACTCTGTGATTGGTCGTCCAGCTATGAAATTACAGAGGACCAAGCAATAGCAAGTCAATAAGAGACTAATTTCAAATGACAGGAAAATTGACCAATCATATCGTCCCTCCAAATGGGTGGTGTCGGTTATCAACTTTATGACAAGTTCCACCGGCATTGTGGGGAACTGTATTGGAATACAAAGCCAATAAAATACAGTATCTAGTGTTATTCACTATGGAAAATGCATGTGACATTAATGAAGAGGATATTGTTGCTAATTTATTATCCATGCAGCTTTCAACATGAACTTTTAATGAAATATTATTTTATTAAATATTATTTAATGAGTTTATTGGCAAAGGAAGACCTACAACAGAGCTTAATTTGGTGCAGAGATTTCAGCCCCAGCAATTACAACCTGTACCCCTGGATGATAGCATCAACCAAGAAGCTAAAGCTTTACTGCTGGAGTTGTTTGCTGTTTGGGTAAGTTATTTAAAATTGAATATATCACAAGCCAACTGATGTTAATATGGCCACCACTGCACAGTAATTTTGCAGAATTACTGGTAATTTTACAGAATTCCACTCCCAGGTGTGAGCAGGGATGCTGAGGAAGGGGCAATGGGAGGAGCTTGCCGAATGGTAGATGGCGAGGATCTTTGGACATGGCACACTCCAAGCATCCTCTAACGACCCTTCACAAGTCCTGTGACATTCCCAGCCATCAGAAGTGATCTTGTAGCCATGAGAGGGTTAAATTGCTCCTGTGTAGCCAGTGCCCAAAGAGTAGTGGACAAATCTGATCAGAGGGATACATTGGGTTCAGGGAACATGCGTGTGACTGGGAGGGCATCCTGGCAGAATGGTTTCAGAGGCATTGGCTTTGGAGATTTATTTATTGAGGGACCATTGAATTGGATTCACTATCAGGTTAGTAGGGATCCCAGGTTCATGTTTCTCTGGGGGAACGTACAAAACTCAGCCTTGAGGAGGAGCTGGAATTCTCACAGTCATTGAAGGACCTCCAAAATGTGCTGGTGATTTTCGGCCATGCTCCAGGATTATACCAGGATATCATTGATCTAGACCAGGGGTGTCAAACTCAATTTCTGGAGGGCCGGAGCCCTGCAGAGTTTTGTTCCAACCCTTCTCCAACACACATACCATGTAGTTTTCAAATAAGCCTGAAGGACTTGATTAGTTGGATCAGGTGTGTTTAATTAAGATTGAATCTAAACTTTGCAGGGCTCTGGCCCTCCAGGAATTGAGTTCGACACCCCTGATCTAGACCAACACAAAGTGGTTGTCAATGAACAGAGTCAATAAAGAGGAGGACTGAAACCGAGACAGAAGCAGTAAGGCGTACAATAGAGGTGTGTGCTCATGTTGCCATAGTTTGTGTGGTCTGGTCTTTTGTAATGGAATTCCAGACTCAAAACACAGGTAACCATTTAAATCAGGTATTTTATTGCAAGGATGCCGCAATGACCAAAGAACTGGTATATAGAATATTATTGTTAAAGTTGATATTATGACAGATGAGTAACAGTCCTACTGTGATACCAGGATTGGGAGAGATCGCACCTCTGAACTGATGCCAGTGAGTTTACAGCAGTGTCAGTCTTTAAAGGGAAACAGGTAATCCAAGGAGACAAAGAAGCAGGGAGACTTCACAGAGAACATCAGAGAATATTGTTTAGAGGTTAGTAGAGTGGGTAAGCACTCCATGGTCGTGAGCAAGACCAGACAATGTTTGAGTGAAAGTTGCATGCTTAAATCCTGTGAAATCCTTAAATTGGGTAATCTTCAGCATGTTTGCCATTTTGGATTGATATATTTTTAGAGTTTACATTGAAAAAAAAAAAGCTTTATGAGTGAAGTAACTGACAATTTTGTGTAGCGTTTGGACCAATCAGACACACAATTGTTCATTAGATTTAACAAATCAATTATTCATTAGATTAACAAATAATCATAGACCCCTCACCCAACAACTATACTGGCTGCCAGGATGTCTGTGAACGACCTCGAGGCCATTGGTTACCATGGAAACCAGGACACATTTACAACCTACAAGTATGTAGAGAGAATCTCATACTGCTATAGGAAATGACTTCTTTCATTTAATTCATAGACAGTTTTTTTTTCTATGACCTTCCTATCATGCATATCACCAGGTCATTGTGTATGAATATTACGTTCTTGTATATGGTCTTGTGTATTGTATTAGGTCTGTGCAATTAATCGCATGCGATTGTCATGCTCATCTCGTCAGTAAAGCCGGTCCCATGATTGGTAGTAAATCGCCATTACCTGCTTTCAGATTGAGCGGCATTCACTCCACAGAGCCGTAGTTCACTGACAATTAGGCAATATCGCGTTCATAATCGCAGATGAATCACATTCGATTATGAATGCGATATCGCCTAGCTTGTCAGTGAACTACGGCTCTGTGTATTAAATGCTGCGCCATCTGAAAGCAGGTGATGGCGATTTACTACTAATCACGGGAACGGCTTTACTGACGAGATGCACACGACAATCGCATGCGATTAATTGCACATCCCTATATTGTATACTGTTTTATGAATGTTTATGATAGATCACTAGTTAATATCACCTCACTTATACTATGTTTGGTCTCTATGAAGTCGTGTTCTGATGATCTAAATGATAGTGTATATTATATGTTGATACCTATGCAACATATTAGTGTTCTAAGAATCTTTAATAGTTTGTATATCAACATCCAATCTAGTTACATATGCAAAATACCATGCTTGGAGACGAGTCGTAAACTTTCCCTCCAAAAGTTCAAGACACCATTGGCTCTTTGATTCCTCAGAGGTGTGACCTGCATTCAATTTATAAGGCCCTCACATCAGTGACCCGCCTTCGGTCTAGGTTCTTTTAGGTTCTGAGAAGATGATGCTGAGCTAGATGTCTTCGAAGGACCTCTAAGTTTGTGCCAGGCTGCGGCCTTGTCTTTCCATTCACCAAAGATCCTCGGATCTCAGCTGATGTCTCTCTAGCTCTGCGCTCTTCTCTCATCACTTTCCATCTGGGAGAAAACTCTCCCAACCACCACAGAGTCAGAATAACATCTCTTTGCAGTTCATCACTCTTCAAACCCGGATGAACGTGATTGCGACTCCTACACCACCGAACCTCAAGACTTTAATCCAAGACTCTCGTTCAACGGCCAAGGCAATGCAAGTATCATACATTTAACTAAACAAAACAGAGGTTTAGTATAAGCTGTAGACCCCATTCTAAAACAGCACTGATGGTTTCACTCAGGTGGTTAACTGACTCATTTTCCATAACTGCATTCTCTGGTTTCTCTAATGGCTTTCATTCATCCATGTAAACCCCCCCATGTATGAGTGATGTATGTTTGTTTAGATTAGTTATGTGTTCGTGTTTAGTTAATAAAACTTTTGTGCACAAATTACATGAGTTGCTGGTTCTGTCATCGCTTGTGAATAATGTCCCTTTTACGATCCGATCTATACCTACTTGCTCTAATGCATTAGTACTGTAAGAAAGTAATTTTCTGTGACCACGAAAATATCCTTTATTAGAGATGAAATTACACTGAATGTTCGCTGGACGAACAGATTAGTGATTGTAATATTAATTCTGCTACAGTTACTACTGGCAGCTGGGGTAAATAATTATTAATAATAATTAATTGTAATTATTTTTATACATTTCCCTTTTGAGCTAATTTGCTACATTTGCAATAGGATTCAGTTTACGGTGGTACTTATTAATTTCTGTGGTATCAGCCGCACAACTCAACAAATTCAATGGTGTTAAGGTTATAATGTGATGGATCACGTGTGCCTTGATAATCTAAGATAACAATTATAGATGTAATCTAGGTGTACAACATTCGCCATGTTGTCATTGTTATGTGACCTACCAGCGTCAGTAGCATCACTTTACTGCCATTCACAAATCCTCTGTGGCCTCATGGGATAGTAAAGTGTCCGTTGTATGCATACTTCAGAATCTCTGAAGTAGTAGGTCATGACGTGAGGAATCCACGCATCTTTGGGAGAACTGAGATACGCTGTGATGTTGTTGCTTAACTGACCATCCCAGCACATTACAAGTCAAACATGGACATCACAAACAAATGCCATTACCTAATAAAACATTTATTTCAGTATTTTTTTTTATTTTATTTAATTTAATATTATCTTTTTATCTTACAGTAAGTATTTGTGAAAATGAGTATGTATATTTTAAGTTACCAATGCTACGTCAATGTTAAGATTCTTTTTAATATGCCAATAAATATTCTTTATATTTTCACTTTATTAAAAGTTTACTTTAAAATACTTTATTACTTTATTAAAGTAATATTATCTCCAACCTAAACCACAAAGATCACAAGCCAATGCTAGTGGTTTCTGATGACAAGATGATGCACAACATGCTTTATGTAGATGGTAGTTTTATGTTGATCTATTTGATAGGAGATTAAAAAAACTGCATTGCTGTTTTTGTGGATCATAAACATTTTTAAGTTAAATATAAAGTTTTGTTAATGTCTTCCATTCTTTAAGACTAATTCTTATGAGTCTAAACAAAAATAAAAACCTCTTTATGCAGATCAGACAAAGAAAAAAAAAATTGTTTCATCATATAAATCATTATTTTAATAAGAGTAAATTCACTCTTTACACAACAATTTATATTGAAATATATTTACAAAGTATCTTTATTGATGCAAAATCTTTTTTTTTTTTCTTTCTCTATAAGGATCTTTAGGGTTAATCTGAAATGACACTCTTCTTGGGCAGCCCATCAGCTCCCAACAAATGATGGTTTGGATCCTTCACCACACATGGCCCAGGGCCAGCCTAAAATACATAATGCAGCAATAATGGTAAACAGGTTGTACATACAACATTCTTTCCTGACATAGAATTCAATATAGGCAGTGTTGGGCAAGTTACTTCCAAAATGTAATACATTATTACTAGTTACTGTCTTTTGAAAGTAATCAGTTGCATTACAATATTACTGTCTCTGAATTGTAATTGTAAAAACTGAATTGTACACTACTTTACTTTCCCCAAAATATCCACAGAAGTATGACTAGGCATTCTAAAATGCCAAAATGTAGTTTTTTGCTGCTCATTCTACATCCAGTGGAGGTTGATGTGGTAGGTTTACTATATCATAAAATTATAAAATCATATTTAGATACCGGTATGTAGGTCTACATTAATGTTATGTTGTAGTTTAGGTTAAACACAGATAAGCACAAAGCGCATTATTACATTCAGAAATAATACCGGTAAATAAAGCAGAATGTTATAATGTACAAATAATAAACAGAGTAGCTAGCCTAGCCTATAGGCTATTTTGAACGGTATTCAGAACAAAACAAGAATGAAAAATATAAGTTGCTAAACATGCCAAAACAAATTAATTTAAAGTGAAACTGAGCAAACGGCACTGTTCTCACACAGCCTACCTTTCTCATTCAGCACTAATCCAATTAAATGTTTCCATATTTGCGATGTATTTGAATGCTAAACTATTATTTATTATGTAAACCAGGCTTTATACTTAACATGCTTTCCACAAAAAAAAACAAATCATCCTCTTCACAAGAACAAATATGTGCAGGCTGAATGGCAAGGATTATACCACGGACTATTAAATTAACCAGTAGCCTATAGCTATATGTTTGGTTGGTTGACTATTTTATTCTGATAATGAACAGGCTGCAACCTTTGCAATGCTGTATGTGTGTGTGTGAGGTGCTGGACGGCGAGATCGAACAGCAGGGAAAAAGATAAAAAACTAAATAAATAAAACAATTATTCCTCCTTCATTTTTTGGTCATACAGATCATTCGAAACTGCTATGTGTTTACTTTTATCTCTTGCTTGTAGAGCGCTGCGCCACACAAAAATGAGCCAAACTCAGCAGCATATATATTATTATTATTATTATATATAATTTTTGTATTATTTTTATTATTATTATATATTATTATTTATTAAATAATATATTATTATATTATTCAAGTCAAATATATTTCGCGTATTCATTCCTTTTATATATAGATTATAGGGATGTAACGGTACACGTATTCGTACCGAACATTTTCAGTACGGTCTTTCGGTTACATTGTCGGTCGATGTCGGTACGCATGTGTACCGAACAAAAACAGCGTTGTTTTAACCTCTGCACGAGTGGAACTTCATTGGAAATTTCCAGTTTTATATATTGTTACTTTTGATAAGAATCAAATTCTCATCTTTCAAATTATGTCCTTTTTTTCAGTAAATTCAAACAATAAATGCCATTTTGGCGATCTTTGATGTGGCGACAGATCGCTGTATAAACGTCTCAGTTCAAATGGTAGCGCGATCATCTCTTTCTCTTTACTACTAGTTTTAACGCGAAATGAACATCTCATGCCTCATGTAATCGCTCAATCAGTGTTTTACCTGCGGAAAGACAGCAATAAAACATTGAGCAAAAAAAAATGTCACGTAGCATTTCATTTGCCTCAGGAAGTCATCAGTGTCCACAGCTTGTTAGTGCACTATATAAATGAAGAGCATTTCACAAAATATTAGACTACACACATTTAATTTTACTGTATCTGTTAGTGATGTCTTAATTATTTCATGTTTAAATAAAGAAAGACGTAATTAAAACCGCTTGTAAACAAAATGTCACGTAGCGTTTCATTTACCTCAGGAAGTCATCAGTGTCCACAGCTCGTTATAAATGAAGTCTAAGAGCATTTCGCAAAATATTAGACTATATACTCATTATATTTTACTTTACCTTTTAGTGTTGTCTTAATTATTTAATGTTTAAATAAATCTGTTATGAAACGAGTTATGAGAGGCACTGTGTAAATGAATATATTTCAATAACAAACAGAATTTTTATAATTTAGAAGTTAATTTAAAAACTCCATTATAGGGCTGTCCAAATGGCTGAAACACTAAATTCGAATTTTTACTTAAATATTATCAATATTCGAATTATATTCAAATTTAAAAGGCATCATTTCAGTTAGGGGGGAAAAAAGCTTTTGGCTTCTCTCCTGAGGCCACAAGAGGGCGCATCGAGCAAAAAATTATAGACATTTCTTCAAAGCATAATGAAATAACACGACTATCTTTAAAAAAAAAAAGTGCATAATGTTTAAAATTATGTTTATAAACCATATAAAATTAAAAAAGTTGCTTGTTCATGCATTTATGTATAGTTTAATACAAAGGACCGAAAACCAATCACAAAAAGTACTTTCTTCATTTAAAAACTTGAGATGGGGAAAACCGCCATAAAGTCTCGAGACATGTTTTTTAAAAGTTGAACTTACATTAATTTTACATAGCTTTCTAAACATGCTGCTCTCTCGTTCGAGTGCAGCGTTGATAGATGTCCCTCTAGAAAATGCGATGAATATGCGTTCTGTGTGAACGGCTTGGTTTCGGTTTTGACGTAAACAACATCATTGATTGTTCTCTTTTTCTGTAATATTTTGAATGAACAACGTAGCAGCGCCGCATCTAGTGGGTTCAACTGGATAGGCTAACAAAAACATTACATTCTCGTCGCATTTCGTGCGCCACTGATAAAAGACAGCCTGACGCACACCTAAAATTCGAATGCAACGTTTTTGCATTCGAATGTGGATTTTTATTTTAAATTCGACTTTTTTTGACAGCCCTACTGCATTATGTGAATGTGTCCATCTAACAAATGTAGAATCCGTCTCTGCAGTCTCTGCCAGACCATCGAATTCCAGCAAAGACCCAGGAAAAAAAAGAAAAAAGAAACTATTTTACCCACAGAATTTTTTCTCTGGTGCTGTTTTGCGGTGTTGGTAAATTCACCACTTAATTTTGAGTTAAAATATGTTGTTGTAACATGCGCTACCGAGATTGTAACAAGTATAATATTAACCAAATTTTATTAGTAATGCATTATATTACTGTGTTACAGCAAAAAGTAATATACTACTGTAATATCGTTACTTTTGTAATGCGTTACTCCCAACACTGAATATAGGGTTTAGTGTTATGTAGATATAGTGAGACAAACAAGGTCTGTGACATCCTTACATGCTCAATACAGATGATGACATATGAATATGCTTTACAGTTAATGAAGTACAGATAGCAGCTGTTTTCAGACAATTACCTTAGTGCTGATTATATAGCGTATACCCTTGGGTGTGGGCTCCATATTAATGTCTCTCTTTAGCTCCTCAGAAAGGTCAGCTGAACAAACAGGAAGACCTTTGACAAACCTGCAAATTAAAATGACTGAGTTTAGAGTTATGATCATAACATGATGTGCCTGTGCTCTGTGAGAGCTGCAAAATTTGTTTTTAAATGAAAACTAACAGCATGCCTGATTTGTAACTTACTCTTCTCCACTGACTTCCGGGGGAAAGAAATGACGGACCACCTGTACAAACTCTGACAAGTGGTCTTGCAAGGTGTAAATAACAGCATTAGGACCAGCATCAAAGGTATATGCCACCTGAAACAAGGCAATAGGTGCAAATACATCAATCCACTTATATCGAAGCATAATAGTATGCTATAAAACTTAAGAGAGAGAATAGACTTAGTATTCAATACAGATGCACCGATTTATCAGCTGCCGATATTAATCGACAATTTTTGATCAATTTGAAATCATTGGCATATTGGCTTATATCATGAAAAAAGGCCAATATAACAAATGACTATTAATTAACTGCATGAAGACACTGATTTATTTATAATGTCTGCTGCATAAGCCATCAATTTTCTTTGGGTAAAACAATTAAATACTTGCCAAAGCAAAACGAAATGTGTACAAAATATATGCAGGGCTTGGCAATAAGGACTGCCCGATGACCTAAGCGTGAATGGCGCTTGGGACAGTTGACTAAACTACACCGATTGGGCCAGTGCTACGCAGACACATAAAGCCATGTCCTAGCATGTGAACACTGAATTGAGTTCTCTCTCACATCTTCTTGCGCTTTGTAATGACTGAGACAGATCAGACATACAATTATTTGTTATATTTACCAAATAATCCACAATACCCCTTACCTAATTGCAACTAACACCCAGGCAGAACCTATGGAGTGAATAATATGCCGAAATTAAACAAACAAATCCAGTATTTTGCAAACAAACTTGATCTGCTTTGCAAAGGAAAATTCGACTCGCAAACAAAGCGATTTGCAAACAAAGGTCAGAGTGAGCGAAACCGCAGAGGTGTAACAAATAAGCGTATTGTGCTTCACAAATATAAATACATCATAGTTCACAAATACAATCAATCCTATGAACTGCATGTAACCTTTGAACAAATTTAGTGCATACAAATGCTGGTCTGTTTTGATTGTGAGACACTCGACCTTTTATGCAAGCTCTTGGCCAGATTTTCTCACAAATGCAGTTGAGCAACTTCCTCTTCCAAAACAGCAGATGGCGCTATGGGTAATTTTACGGTAGTCTCCCGGTACGGTGCGAACACGCCAAAAAGTGGGTAGTTCCACAATTAGTTCTGGTACTTTGAATAGGTTCCTGCGGTGCGAAAAGCCCTTAAGTCAGTGATGGGTCATAAAAACTAATCAGTGGTGCCTGATCGTCTGAGCCAACCGTCTTCTACGGTAGTCTTACTCAAACACTTTATGAAAATGAGTGGTGAACAGGTGGGTTTGTGTCTTACTATATCTATAATTAACCTTTTTAAGGTTTTCACAATGACATTAGAAAATATATCTATAGAAAGCTTGAAATGTCTACTTTTAAATGAACCAACTGAAATAGAAAACAAATACTCTCTTATGAAAATCCATATGAAAAGTGCATTTCTCTCTAAAGACAGCCCTACAAACCACTCTTTATAGCAACTACTTCATCTGAGGACATGAATGGTGACATACAAACTATCTTTACTCATCAAATTTGGGGGATAATTACCTTACCCTCAAAAAACCCGAATTATCAGATGATCCATTGGAAATTACTGCATAGACCACAGGTCTCCAAACTCGGTCCTGCAGAGTTTAGCTCCAACTTGCCTCAACACACTTGCAACTAACAACTTAATTGATGTTCAACAAATAAAAAACAGAAATAATACAGATAAACAAATGATAAATCTTGGCTTAATGAATATTAAAATCCTTTCGACAAAAGTGCTTTTTGTAAATGATATGATCACAGGTAACTTAGATGTGCTCTATTTGACAGAAACCTGGCTAAAACCAGATGATTACATTATTTTAAATGAGTCTACCCCCCAAGATTACTATTATGGCGCTTTTCCACTGCGTGGTACGACTCGGCTCGGCACAGCTCC